GGGGGGGTGGACCGACTGGCCGGGCTTGCCCGTGCGGTTGACCCACGAGCCCTTGAGGTCGTACCGCACTGCGGGAGAGACGTCGCCGTGCAGGTGGAAGGCGGAGCGGAGCACCACAAAGTGGATGGTGCGCCCGTAGAGGTACATCGAGAACTGGCCGAGGAAGCGGTTGATGTAGGAGGCGGGCTGGTCGTGAAAGTGGCGCGCAAAGGAGGGCGCGAGCTTGCGCAAGGCCGCCGCCTCCTCCGAAGAGAGCGTCTTGACGACGAGCTGCCCGTCCTGGGAGGGGAAGAGGAACGCGCCCGAGGCGCCTCCCTTGAGGCCGCCGCCGGCGTGCTCGATCGACTCGATCGACAGCTGCAGCCTCTCGAAGTCGACTCCGGCGCCGTCCCGCATCGCGCCAAACTCGCGCGGCGCCGTGGCGACGAAGCGGACGCGCGGGCGCGGGCCGAGCACGCGCGTCATCAGCCCCCCCAGCCGCGAGTTCGTCGTCTTGAACGAGGAGAGCGAGGCAAACTGCGCGCCGTCGCGCGGGGCGAAGGTGCGGCTCACCTGTGGGCGAGCAACCTGTCAGCCAAGCAGGCCAGGAAACGCAGATGCAGTGGGCAGTGAAGACGGCCGGGGGGCGCGAGAGAAGTCGAGAAGGCAAGAGGGCGAGAGGTCGAGCAGGCAAGAGGGAGAGAGGGCGAGAAGGCAAGAGGGAGAGAGGGCGAGAAGGCAAGAGGGAGAGAGGGCGAGAAGGCAAGAGGGCGAGAGGGCGAGAACGGCGCTCACCGTCTGCCTGGCGCTGTGGAGGTGCGGCACCGCCGAGGGGAGGTAGAGCACGAGCAGCGCCCCCACCAGCAGCGCGTCCAGCGCGTGGGCGTCCCACCTGGCATGCGACACGCGCCCCCGCTGAGGGGAGGGGCTCTCTCTCCTGCGCCGTCAAGGAGGGGCCGCCTCACCCGCCCAGCGTGCAGTGCGGCTCCTCCCCTCCCCCCGCAGCCGCGCTGAAGGCGGCGACGAGGCCGAGGGCGGCCGCCTGGCTGCCGAGGCGTATCGCAGCCTCGGGCGTGTCGAGGAGGCGCCGCCAGATGGCGCCGCGGGACCCGGCGGCGTGCGACGAGGTGATGGCGAGCGCGAAGGAGAGCAGGTGCAGGATCGGGAGCAGGGCGGTGATCCAAGTGCACGGGTCGTGCCACTGGGCGGCGACCGCGTCGGCGTGCTCGACCTGCTCCTGCTGCTCGCGGAACGAGTCGAGAGACGCCTCCTGCGCGACGGTCATCGCGAAGTCCCACAGCTGCTCCGCGCGCTCGATCTCCTCCCTGTGCCGCTCGTACTCGTCGGCGCTGATCCGCTCGGCGAGCGCCGCGCCCTTGGCGGTGATGGCCACGACCTTGCCGTCCGTGGTGATGTCAGACCAGCGGCCGTAGTACGCCTAATCTCGGGTAATCTCGGGTAATCTCGGGTAATCTCGGGTAATGTCGGCCCAGCGGCCGTAGTACGCCTCGCTCATGATTGCGTACGCCCACTCGCCGAACTCGGCCGTCTCCTCCGCGTCCAGCTTGACCAGCCGGCGGCGGCTGTGCCGCCCGACGGTCAGCCGCACCTTCTCGTCCTCGGAGGCGTACGAGTACGTGGAGTCGTCGCCGCCAAAGAGCCAGCTGGTCGCAGCAGAGAGCGGGTCGTCCGCCACGGCGGGCTTGTGCGGCCGGAGGCGCGCGGTGTAGCACGCTGCGGACGGGCACGTTAGCATGGCCCGCGGCAGCGGCGGCCACCCCGCACCAATCCCTCGCGGCCCGCTCAGCTGGCGGGCGAGCAACAGCCAGCAGATCGACACCACCTGGACGACCGTCAGGACCTCGCGGAAACGCGACGAGCCGCCGCCGCCGCCGCCCGCCCCCCCCTCCGGGCCCGCCTCTGCCGCGGCCGACGCGCGCACTCCCGCCGGCACCGGCGCCGGGCCGCCTCCTCCGCGCGCCGTCGCCTCGCCCTCCTCGGTGTCGCGCTTGGCGTACCTAATCTCGGGCAATCTCGGGTAATCTCGGGTCATCTCGGGTCATCTCGCCCTCCTCCGTGTCGCGCTTGGCGTACCTGGCTCCGCACCCCTCCTCCGCGAGCAGCTCCAGCGGCGGCTCCTCCGACGCGGGCTCCAGCATCACCACGAGCGGGGCGCCTACCCGCAGACCCGCATCCGCGTGAGCCGACGCCTGCGCGCTCCTCGAGCCTCCTCGAGGCGGCGGCGAGGCGGCGGCCGTCGCGAGGCAGCGCTTCGTCCGCCGCGCCGCACGTCGCTGCGACGCCCTTTCGTATGCAATGCAGCACCTCGTCGCGGAGCGCCTCGTTGCCCGTGGGGTCCGTGTCGTCGACCTAATCTCGGGTAATCTCGGGTAATCTCGGGTAATCTCGCCTCGTTGCCCGTGGGGTCCGTGTCGTCGACCTCGAACCCGCCCGCCTCGCCCTCCCCCTCCTCCTCGCCCTCCCCCTCCCCCTCCTCCTCCCACCCCCGCCCGGCCAGCGCCGTGTCGGGCTCGCCGCCGCGCTTGACCGCTCCAGCGCCTGCGTCGGCCCCACCGCCGGCCGCCACGCCGCCGTAGCCGAGCAGCAGCCGCCAAGGCACGGGCGCGAAGAGGCCGGCGCGCTGCTGCGACGCGAGGAAGGCCATCGTCCACAGTCCCTGCATCGAGAGCATCACCTATCGAGGTCTCGGGTGGTCAGCACCCTGTTGAATCGCCCACAGTCCCTGCATCGAGAGCATCACCTATCGAGGTCTCGGGTGGTCAGCACCCCCCTGCTGACCTTAAGGGCGGAGGCCGGAAGGCCGTCGTCCACAGGCCCTGCACCGAGAGCGTCACACCTGCATGAGGCCGATCCAGTTGGCATCGTCCCCCGCGTGCTCCGGGTCGCTCCACCGCCACGTGGCGAGCGGCTTGCACGCGCGCACAAGCCACTTGCAGTCGGCGACGTTGAGCGAGCCTTGGGCGGTCACGGGAGGGGGGGGGCCAGGGGGTGGCGTCGGCCCGGCTGCTGCGGGCAGCGCTGCCGGCGGGAGAGTGGGCGCGTGGGCGCGTGGGCGTGTGGGCGTGTGGCGTGTGTGGCGGGCGTGTGGCGGGTGTGGCGGGCGTGTGGGCGTGTGGCAGGTGTGGGGTGTGGCGGGTGTGGCGGGTGTGGGTGTGGAGAGGGTGGGCGTGTGGCAGGTGTGGGGTGTGGCGGGTGTGGCGGGCGTGTGGCGGGCGTGTGGCGGGTGTGGCGGGTGTGTGGCGGGTGTGGCGGGCGTGGTTCACCCAGCTGGAACATGAGGTAGTAGAGGGGGATCCAGTAGAGCCCGTAGTGGTGGAAGATCGAGTCGACGTTCCGCGCGATGGCCTGCTCGCGCGCGCGCATCGCGCGTGTCGACGCGCCGTTCATCGTCCACCCGAGGACGACCACCAGCAGCAGCGAGGTCAGCAGGCTGAGGAACGCCCAAAAGTAGGCCGCCAAGACCCACGTGCCGCTCGCCAGCGCCGAGTCGTCCTCGTCCGACCAGTCGCCTGAGTAAGAGCTCCTTCACCGCTAACCATGAATCCTTACTTCGGAGCCCTCCTCGTCCGACCAGTCGCCGGAGCGCGGCCAGCACTCGATCGGCAGCGTGTGGATCGGCCGCGGCACCGTGGCCGTCGCAAAGCAAAACTTTGACGCGGCGGTCGCGTTCGCGCCGCCGCTGCCGCCGCCGCTTCTGACGCCGCCGCTGCCGCAGCCCTCCGCGCCGAAGAGCCCGGCGGTCCACACCCGCTCCTCGCGAGTCGCGTGCACCTTGGGTTCGGGTACCGTGGGGTAGGGGAGGGTGGGTTCGGGTACTGTGGGGATGGGGGAGGGCGAGTCGCGTGCACCTTGGCGGCGGCGAGGGCGGCGCAGACGAAGCGCGACGTGTCAGACTGGTTGAGAGAACACGACGTCTCCATCAGCCTACGCGCACGGCCGGCCCACTCTAGCGGCCTGCTCGACGAGCCGGCGCGGTGTGCCTCGCCCCTCGCGCCCGCGCACGGACAGGTTGGCGGGCGGGAGCTCCGCCTTCCACGTGTGCAGGGTTAGGGTCAGGGTTAGGGTTAGGGCTAGGGTTAGGGTTAGGGTCAGGGCTAGGGCTAGGGCTAGGGCTAGGGCTAGGGCTAGTGTTAGTGTTAGTGTTACGGTTAGTGTTAGTGTTAGGGTTAGTGTTAGTGTTAGGGTTAGGGTTAGTGTTGGGGCTAGGATTAGGGTTAGGGTTAGGGTTAGGGTTAGAGTTGCCTTCCACGTGTGCAGGCAAAAGCCGGCCTCGATGGCAAGCAGCTCGTCCCGAGCCTACAGACCCTCCTCCGGGCAAGGGTCACGCAAAGGCTCTGACGGAGGCCAGCTCTCGCCGGCGGCTGAAGTCGGCGCACCGGGTGGTGCCGCAGCCAAGGGACGGACGAGTCGAGCGGCTGCGACGCCATCCGCGTCCTGTCGAGCTCGTCTGCCGCGCCGGCAGGGTCGAGGAGGAGGCGGAAGCCATAGGAGAGGGCCGCGCTGAGGCCTGGAGAGGGAGGCGGCGAGAGACACTGCGGGAGGGGGAGGGGGGGGGGCGTTGGGGTGTCGCGAGACAGACGACAGCTTGTAGCGGCACCGTACGCGCAGACGCGGGAGCCGAAGGCGAGCCTGTTCACGGCTGCAGGTGTGAAGAGACGCCGTTCACAGCGTGAGACCGCAGACGCGGGAGCCGAAGGCGAGCCAGAGCGAGAAGGCGGCAGCTCCTCCCCAGACGAGAAGGTGGTAGAGGCGGCGGGCGCGCGCGTTGTCAGTGAAGGGGTCGCGCCTTGGGTTTGGGTGCCGTGGAGTAGGCAAGGGTGGGTTCGGGTACTGTGGGGGTAGGGGAGGGGTTGTCGGTGAAGGGGTCGCGCCTTGCGCAGGGGCGGGAGGGGCGGGGCGGGGTGGGAGAGGCGGGCAGGGCAGGGGAAGGAGGAGGGGAAGGAGGAGGGGAAGGAGCAGGGGCGGGGGGAGGGGCGGGGCGAGGTGCACATCAGCAGGAACACATCGACCGCCATCACCAGAGCCTGCGGGCAGAGGGGGCCAGGTGAGACCAGCCTCCACGGTACAGCCGTGCCCGCGCGTGGCGAGGAGGAGACCCATCCCTCGTGCGCCAGGAAGCCAAAGTGCACCAGCAGCGGGTTGAGCGACGCCGCCACTGAGCCGCAAAAGTCGCGCCCGATGAGCGACGCCTACAGAGCAGCAGGAGGCGACGGCTGGGCGGAGCTGCCGTCGTCACCGGTGCGGTCTCCCTTCGGTCCCGGCGCAGCGGCACCGGCACCGCCAGCTCAGCCAGCGCCGTGCCAGCCACCGCGGCGGCGGCGACGCCCGTCGCTAGCGACCGCCTGCGGATCGGGCGGCGCGGGCGACGTGAGAGAGACAGCAGCGCTGCTCGGCCCTCTCCTCCCGCACCTCGGCTGCTCATCTGGCGGTGACTCTCGCTCCCACGCCCCTCCCGGGCCGCGAGATGTACACCCCCACAACTCTGCGCGCGCACCAGGCCAGCAGCTGGTTGGGGTAGCGGCGCCACTTGCGGACGTAGTAGCACCACAGGTTGAGCGCCACCGCGCCGAGGGAGGATGTGGCGCCCATCAGCCTCGAGATGGTGCTGGGCCTGCTGGTCAGCTGCAAGCCACCGACAACGAAGGCGGCAAAGCCCAAAGCAATTAGCGCCGCCTGGAGAACGCATACTCTGTGATCAACAACGGGTGTGAGAGACAGGTCGCGACGCGGGCACGTCGGCCTGCACGGCAGCGTCTCGTCGCACGCCGGCAATCCCGGCATCGCGCGCCCTGCCGCGGGGAAGAAAGCGAGCGGGCACGCCGCCTGACTCCCAGGTCTTCATGGCTGGATCCGCGCCTTCGGCCTCAGAGGAGGGTTCGGGCACTAGACGCGCAGGGGTGGACTGGACGCCCCGAGGACCAGTGTGTGTGTGTGTGTGTGTGTGTGTGTGTGTGTGTGTGTGTGTGTGTGTGTGTGTGTGTGTGTGTGTGTGTGTGTGTGTGTGTGTGTGTGTGTGTGTGTGTGTGTCTCCACGCCGGAACCAGGTGTCAAATCTGCCGATGCGTGATCTGTGTGTGGGCTGCTCTATGAGTCGTCCAGGCATGGTCCGACGGGTAGGGAGTCTGTGCCCGGGCGGTGTCCGGTGTGGAGTCTCTCTCTGATCCCGCCTGTGATGTTGGGTGCGAGGTCGTGGAAGCTTCGATCCCAAGGGGGGGAGCTGATCTCACTGGTAACCAACTCTCAGGGGCAGCACTCGAGTAGGTGGGCGAACTTCAAGCGCGCTCATCTCGAACGACCAGGCGTCGCTACGCGCGGTCTTCCGCGGGGGGAGCTTCGTCGACGGGTGTTGGACTGCGGCGCAGCCAGTGCCGCGGCGATGCCTCCGGCTGGTGCGGCGAGTGGGTTGCTACTCGCTGCAATGGCGGCGAAAAACTCGTGACACGCCAAGAGCTTATGCTCTGTCGAGACGTGAGGCGCATGCGCCCAAGAGGGGAGGGCGCATGCGTAACGACGCTGCTAGAGATGCCTTTCGGGGCCCAGAGATGAAACTTCTGATGCCATGCGTGACCTAGTAGTGTCCCCAGCTATGGGCGTGTCCACGTTGGAGCCAGGTGTGGTGTGGACGCGAGAATAGCTCCGCCGTTCATGGAGGCAACTCCGATGCCGCGATGCGAGTCGTTCCGGTGGTGTGTGTCGTCGTGGTCATTGTCGTGGTTTCGTATCAGTGAGAGTTTCGCACCACCGGAGCCGCCTAAGCGACTCCGTTAAGTAAGATAAGATTAAGAACAGCAATGCACTCCGCCCATGCCGAGAAAAGAATTCTTAAGATACAAGCCTCTCTCACAGCACACTGGCACGACAAGGGCGCAGACTGGCGCGGACTGGCACACACACAGGCTCACAGCCGAGAAAAGAAAGAAAACTGCAGTTGACTTCATTGCCTCTCTCTTGCGCCTCGCCGCGGGTCCTCGCCGCGGGTGAACGCGCCTCCGCCAACCGCTCCCGCGAGTGCAAACGCGCGTTGCTGTGATGAGCCATCCCAGTCTCGCCATGGCCGGCGTCGCCCTGCTGGCCGCGGCCGTGGCTGCCGAGCGCGTCTGCGTTGACCCAGGCGGCGCGAGCTGCTCCGAGGCGTCCGACGCCGCCCTCTCTGACGCCCTCTCTGCGAACGAGGTGGACCACAACCGCGAGTCTGCCGAGGCGTGCCGGCACTTCTTCTGCGGCGATGCGGCGGCGGAGGTGGCTCTGCCCCAGATGAGCCGCCACCCGCTCGGCCACGGCCCGCTGGTCGACATCGTCGAGGGCGCCGGCGAGGAGGAGCACTCCATCTACGTGACGGAGGCGCCGCTCTTCTCGGCGGCCGAGTGCGACGAGGTGGTGGCGTTGGCCGAGGCGGAGGGAGGCGGCCTTCCGAGCACAAAGTCGGGCAAGTACCGCATCGGCAAGGCCTGGGTGAGGGAGATGCCGGGTGTGCTGAGCTGGTTCAACGGCGCGCTCGAGACGAAGCTGTACCCGGCGCTGGCGCAGCTCTTCCCGGCGCACGTCTCTTCGACGGCGCAGCTGCGGGCGCACTCGGTCGCCATCCTCAAGTACAACGAGTCGCACCCCGCGACCGACGTCCACATCGACGACGCGCTGCTCGCCTTTACGGTGGCGCTCTCGCCCTCCTCCTCGTTCGAGGGGGGAGGGACGTACTTCGAGAGCCTGCGGGCGGTGCTGCCGATGGGGCAGGGCATGGTCAGGTGTGAACAGCGTCTCTTCACACGTCCAGCTGTGAACAGGTGCTGCCGATGGAGCAGGGCATGGTCACTTTCCGGCCCGGCGCCGTGCGGCATGCGGGCCACGCTGTCTCCTCCGGCCTCCGGTACGTCCTCGGCGGCTTCATCGCGCTCGCAGACAGAGTCGAGCACGTGAGGCGGCTCAACGAGCGTGGCAACCGGCTGCTGCTCGCCCCGTCGCCGACTGCCCCCGAGCTCGAGCAGGCGGACCGGCTGTTTGCGCAGGGGCTGCGCCTCAACCCGCACTGCTCCCTCTGCCACGCCAACCGCGCCGACGCGCTGCTGCGCCTCGACCGGCCTGCAGAGGCGGAGGAGGAGCTCAAGGCGCAGACGGCGCTGCTGCCGCTCGACTCGGACGCCCACTTCTCGCTCGGCGTCGCTCTCCGCGCGCAGGTCCATATCTCCCCGTATCTCCCCATATCTCCCCGTATCTCCCCGTATCTCCCCGTATCTCCCCACCTTTCCCCACCTCTCCCCACCTCTCCCCACCTCTCCCCACCTCTCCCCACCTCTCCCCACCTCTCCCCACCTCTCGCTCGGCGCCGCCCCTCCGCAGGGCCGCACGGCCGAGGCGGTGCAGGCGTACCAGGCCGCGTTGCGCCTCGTGCCGCGCGACTTCGACGCGTGGGTGAACCTCGCCGCCGCACTCGCTGACCTGGAGCGGTTCGGCGAGGAGGCGGACGCCTACGAGCACGCGGCGGAGCTGCGGCCGTCCGAGGCGCTGCCGTGGCTCAACTTGGGCGAGGCGCGCCTCTCGACCGGCGACGAGGCCGCGGCGGAGCTCGCCTTCCGACGCGCCTCTGCGGCTGCACCGACCGACGCGCGGCCGTTCCTCTCCCTCGGCCGGCTGAGCGCTCGCCAGTCGAGACCTGCCGAGGCGATCGACCTCTTCTACCAGGGCGCGCTCGCAAACTCGGAGTACTTTGACGAGGCGAAGCAGGGCATCGCCACCGCGCGCACGCAGCAAGGCCGCCTCTCCGAGGCCCTCGCAGACTTCGAGTCGGCGCAGCGGATGGCGCCGAACAGCGAGAAGGTGCGCGCGGCGGTGGAGGACGTGAGGCGGCAGGCGGCGGCACTCGCGCGCGTCGAGGCCGGCCTCGAGGACCGAGCAGCGGAGGTGTGCGGCACGCCTTGCCGCGACGTGGTCGACACGTCCGGCTACGCGGTGTGCGCCGTCTCGTGGGCGGACGGCTGCGGCGACGCGCCGCCGCCCGACGGCTTCTCCGCCGCCTCACGCGTGGCGGACCTGTGCGAGCGCACTTGCGCCTTCTACCTGCTGCGAAGCGGCGCCGTCGTGGACGAGGCGTCCGGAGAGGCGACGGAGACGGCGGCAGGAGAGGCGGCGGCCGCGCCGTGATGTGCCGGCATACTGTATGAGCGGAGGGCTAGGCCCCATTGGCACTACAGTACTGCCGGTCGGCAGCGCGGCGGCGCGTGATGCGGTGGGAGAAGGAAAGCATTTTTTGTCCAGATAAATACCACAACATGCAAGATAGTCTCACAGGGCGGTCTCTCACTCTCTCTGCAGGCAGCGCCGGCGCTCGTAGTACATAGACGGCTGGGCCGGCCACTCTAGGACAGCGAGGATGTAAAGCGTGCCGATCAACATATCGTGCACGAGCCCTTGGACCCTCGCTTGCCACCGATCCACGCATTCTGAGACGGTGGATAGTCGGGTCTGAGCGGCTCCGCCGTCTGCTCCGTGAATGCGATGATGTCTTTTGCGGCGGCGCTGCTCGAAATCATCTCGTCCTTGCAAAAGGCGTACTCCTGCCGCAGCTGCTGCACGTCGTCGCCCGACATGACGAGCGCCATCGGAAGCGGGCAGAGGCCGTCAGGCGTCTCTCCGGCCACTGGCGTCTCAGCGCGCTCGCAAAGAGGCCGACCAACCAACAGACTCACAGAGAATCACAGTCTGCTCATGCAGGTGGGGACCCTGTCCTCCTCCCCCATCCCTCTCACAGTGGTTTGGGCTCGGCAGCTTTCTCAGCCCTCAGCCGAAGCTGGGGCCGGTGGTCCCTTGGGAAGAAAGCGCTCCCCAATGAATTCGACGCGGTCGAGGGGAGAGAGAGAGGCGGATGCGGCGGTGGCGGCGGCTGCGAGAGAGGGAGGTGGACTGCAGCGGCCCGGGGGCCGACTAATGGCTGCCCGTAGAGAATGGGGGAGAGGGGACACCGTGGTTTTTGGCTAGTTTGTAGTAAAGAAGATCGATCGGTCACACCGCCATCGCCGTCGGGGAGAGGGGGGACGACACTGGTCACTGCTTCGGCAGCGTGCACCTCGATCCTGAACCGTGTTTGTTATGACCCCCCCCAATGAACACGCCAGAGAGAGAGGGCGAGACGATCGAGGGGTCCCGTACCATGCGGAATCGACCCTATCCAGTGCTCAAGTGCTCAAGTAAAGAAGAGTTGCACTTGGGCTTCCCCTGAATGGGTTGGTGTGGACCAGTGTGGACAGCTTCACAGCTCCACTTCCTGCGCAATTCCAAACCCGTACAACTATGCCTGGGACATTATACATTCGTGGAGCTGTTCACACTTCGCGCTGTGAAAAGAGCTTGGCCGCCCGCGCCGTGTTGCTGCTGGCGGCCCGCTCGCTACGAGCCCTCCCCTCTGTCTCGCAGTCACATGTACATGTGCATGTACGGTGTCGGATGCACAGGTGTGGTGCTGCTTCCACAAGCCGGCCTTCGCAGGAAGTGTCTCGGATCAATGGCCGCGCTCTCGACGGCTCCACTCCGGACGCCTAGGCAGCTACCGAGAGCTTCCTTCCAGCAGCGCAAGGCGCGAGGCGCAGTGCCTCACAGCTTGCACTGGCCGCACACGTAGGAATCTAGTGCGGCGGCCTGCTTAATGGTCATGCCGACGCAAGCCGGGTGGAACCAGTCGGCGCACCCGTCGCACGCGATCATGACGGAGCAGTCCAGCCAGCTGTGTCCAGCCAGCTGTGCACTGTGCGACACAGAAATCTTTTTATTTGAAGAGTCACAGTGGAAACCCTGCAAGAAAAAATTGATTTTATGGGCACGGGTTTGTGCGTCGTCATCATCTGTCTCGCGTCCACCCATACCGCGTTGGTGTCCAGTCCGAGCCTGGCTGTTCTTCACCTTCCTACCTAACGCTAACCACATGGTTCGACTGTTTTCTTCTCTTCCTTCTTTCGGGACTGGCGTGAGAGCCGTGATTTCTTGTTGGTTTTCAAAAATCTCTCTCTCTGGCGTGCACTGAGAAAGAAATCATGCCGCGTCACAAGGCGCAACAAACAAAAACTTTGGATTGCTTAAATTCTCTCAGGCCGCCGACAGAGAGCGGACAGGGACGGGGCCCCGACCTTATTGAGCGGTTCGTCCGCGTCGCGCACTCGTCCCAACCGGGGGCCGCAGTCTTGCTTGTACCGTTCCTGACCTGTACGCCTCGGTACAGACCCTCGCTGTCGCTCCGTGTACAGCTCACACACAGCTCACGACAAGAACCCGAACCGCAACCGAACCGCCAGGGTGTACACGTCGAGTGGGATCGGGTTGCGGGCTAGACCTAGAGAGCCCTAGGCCTAGCCCTGGGGGGTGCGCGTTCGCCAGGAAACGCGAAGCACTTGGAGCACACACTTGGAGTGCAGTCAGAGGGCCCAACTTCAGAATCATCGTGCTTTTTGGGGTTTAGGGACGTCTCCCAGAGTGACCATAGTTATGCCGAACGACCACCAGCTTGGGACCACCGCACGCCGCTCCGCTTCCTTTCATTCCCCTCCCTCCACTGAGAGTCACCGTGCCGCCATCAATCACCGGCGTGGCCTGCACCCCTCCATCCCCGGCCGGCACACGCCGCACGCCGACGGGCCGTAGCGCCATCCGAGGCCGCGCGCGGCCGCCCAGAGGCCGTCCGGCCCAGGACCCGTGATCGCCTTGTACCCCGTGACCGACGCTTGGCGCGTGGGGGCGCCAGGCTGCGGCGTGTCGGCTCGCAGGCCGAACCCCGCGCTCTCGCACACGACGGCGAAGCATGTGGAGGAGCGGTTGGCAGGGTCGCGCGCCGTTCGCGCCAGGCAGCACGCCAGCGGCTTCCCCGCCAGCGCCAGCCTCTCAAAGGGCGCCTTGACCGCCTGCGCGAGCGCGGCCATCACGCCGAACAGGTCTGGCATGACCTGCCCACGCGCCGCGGCCGCGTCGTACGACGCCATCGTGCGCAGCACCGCGAGCATGGCGTCGCGCCCGCCCGCTTGCAGGTAGTCGCACAGATGGAGGACCCTGTGCGCGGCGGGCGCGGGGCGGATGCCGTGCAGCTGCTCGAGCGCCCCTCGCTGCAGCAGCACCGTGTCGGGACGCAGGCGGACGACCGCGCTGAACGGGCGCCCGTCGCGCGCCTCGCGAGCGAGAAGCATGCGCCGGCACGCCGCTTGCTGGAAGCTCTGCACGAGGAAGGAGCGCGCGCCGCTGCACTCCGTGGGCGATCTGGACCCGCACCGCGACAGCCGTGGCAGCGCCGAGCCGTTGAACTGTAGGAGCCCGTTGCGGCTGCAGTTGCCCCGGTCGCACGCAGAGAGGAGGCGCTCAGCTGTGCAAGTGGCATTGGGAGCCACCCGCACCGCGCTCGCGTAGACGAGCATGCTTGTCTCCGCCACCAGCAGCTTGCGCCGCAAGAATGCGCGCGCTGAGAGGAAGTCGCTGTCGCGCGGACCGCAGAAGAAGGCGTCGGCCGCACCGCTCCGCGGCCGCACGATCTGGACCAGATGGCTTGCCACCAGCCTCCACGCTCGCAGCTGCCCCGTGATGCACACTGCGACCCCCGCCATCGTGCGGCGCCGCTGTGCCCGTTCGACGAGGCGAGTCCACGCTCCCCAGCGTCCAGGGCAGCGTGACCACCGGAGCAGCAGCCAGCCTCAAGGGACGCGGGGACCGGCTAGTTCCCGAGGTCGCGCGGGGCTGACCCGTACTAGGTCCCGGGGGACGAGCTGCAGCCAGAGAGCAGAGCCGCAGAGCACACGTCAACGGCCGGTCGCGGACGACAGGTTCTCTCGGCTCCAAGAGACGCCGTGCACAGCAAAAAACAACCCCCCCCAGGATTGTCCTTTATGCATATCCTTTGGCCGCGTTGGGTAGCGAGAGGATTGGTGTGACGCGATCCACGCAGGCGTGTTTTCTGGCGGCCGACCGTCAGTGCACGGAGTTGCCCCTTCTCCGACTGCCCCGGCTAGTTCACGAGTTTCGCGGGAGTGACCCCATGCGTCAAACCCGAGACCTAGCGCGGGTGGGTTGGAGGTGGCTCGCTGCAGGGAAGGGCTGTGTAAGAAGCCGATCCCCGTAGTCCGCCCCGCTCCTCCCCATCGGGCCGCATGAGCGGCCACGCCTCGCAGATTCGTTTTCGCGCCTGGGTCAGGCGCGCGGGGCATCCCCCGGGTCGCTCGACCAGCGATCCGAAGAGTGGCCACTATGCGAAGGAAAGAGCGGGGCCCTCGACGCCTCAGTCCGGCCCTCCGAGGGGGGAATGGAATTGCGGGGTCCCCACGGGCGCCTCTCTTCGGCCCTCTCCCGAGGGGGGGAGGGGAGCAAGGGGGTGGGGGGATCGGGGCGGTGGGGAGGGGTCTCGGGTTTCGTGTGGCTATACTTGCCTTTCGGGGAGGGGCCTCAGGACGGCGAGCGCAGTGGCGCCCGCTCGACGTCTTCCCCTCCTCCCCATCGAGGCGTCTTCCCCTCCACCCTCGAGAGTACCTATACGCTAGACGAGCGAAGGGCGGTGGCCAGTGCGCGGGCGAGGGGAGGGGGCGGGGGGGCGGCGGGCGGGCGGGCGGGGAGGAGGGGAGGGGAGGGGAGGCTTAGCCATGCAGCTGCTGTCGAGCCGAGGCGGCGGCAGCCGCCGCAGCTGCACCGCCTCCCGTCGCGCCGCGGTCGCCGCTCCCTCAGCGCCGTCTCCGCGTCGTCACCCGCCGTAGCTTCTCCTCCTCCGCCGCCGCCCGGTCCCGAGAGTGCGGTGGTGGTGTGTATAGTGCAAGGGAGGTGTGTGTGCGTGTCTGCCGCAGATCTCTGCCGTTGTCTGCGCCGCGATCCGCCGCCGCGCCGCCGCGCCGCCGCCGCCTGCGCTCGCCGCCGCCTCGTAGACGGCTCCTCTCGCGCTCGGAGAGCCGCGCAGCGGGCCGCGAGGTTGTGGTCAGAGAGCAGCAGGGTTGAGATCACAAAATCGGCCAATTTTGAGGTTGCTCGAGAGAGCCTGGAAATGGTCCCGCGCCGTAGCCCCGGTGCCGGCGCATCACGTCTCAGCCGCGAGGGGCCGGTTCTGCCGCGCAGTCGAGCAGCAGGAGCTCGGGGGCAACTTTGTCGACAAACATCGGTACGCGGGGCCAACCCTCGGAGACCCGTGTTTACTTTACGGCCCTTTCCCTGCGAACGCGCACCCCCCAGGGCTAGGGCTCTCTTGCCCGCAACCCGATATCGATCATCCGGCCCGCTGGGTGCGCTTCTCAGCTCCCCGGCCCTGGATGTGAGGTTGATGACTGCACTCCAAGTGCTCCAAGTGCGCCAAGGGGGGGGGGGGGGGGGTGGAGCCTCGGTGCTCAATACCCTAGACTAGTCTAGATTAGGGTGCCCACAGGACCCAAAAAAAGAAAGGGAAAAAATGGGCCACCCCCGATCGCAGCACTTCGTGTTGGAGAGTCGAGATATTGAGATTGTGACTAGGAGGGAGGGACGCTGGGGATTCTCAAAGGTATACCCTTGGAATGGCCGGATCCAGCCTTGAACGTACGAGATCGCGCGCGTTTCGCGCACAGCACCGCCTGTTCTCCGCGGCTGAATGACGACGCGTGCCGTGTGCCAGCAGAGTTGGGCGCGCGCGGCGCGACGGCACCCGCGAGGGAAGGCGCGGGTGAGGCGTGGGCTTGGCAGGCGGAGCTGGGCCGGCTGATGGTGGGGGCGCGCGCTCCGGCGACGGAGGGCGGTGGGGAGGAGGAGGAGGACTTGCCCTTTTCATTTACGGCGAGATGATTTGGCACTTGTGGACGCAGCAGCGCGTGAGTGAGATGGTAAAGTACTGAGAAGAACTGTACGTGTGTGTGTTGCATTGCAACAGCGTTTGAAAAGCCGAGTCATAGCATACATAAACGCGGGCGGTGGCGCCTTCTTTTAGGCGCCCTTGACACCACAAAAAGAAAAATAAAATCGCGTTCCCCTGTCGGCCTTTGCATCCCACCTAGCCAAGTCCAATTCGCAGCCACAACTGTGAACGGTGACTCGAGGACTGCGAGCCCGTCTCGCTCAAGGATGGCACCGCCAGCACCGGCACCGGCCATCAAGAACGACCCGGTGCCAGCCACCAAGGTCGCCACGGCCCTCAAGCCGGCGGCGGTCGAGACGCTGCGGTCGATCAAGAAGTTTCCGGAGGAGGAGCCCGCCCCGGCGGCGAGCGCCTGGCATGGCAAGGCGCCCCGCGGCTCCACGCCGTCGGCCACAAACTCGGTGCTCTCGCCGCCTGTGCGGCTTCCGCCAACTGCTCACCGCTCACAGCCAGTATCGCGCCCCTGTTCAGGGCGCGACGGTCAAGCCCAAGACGGTCAACCCCAAGGCCCCCAAGAAGGGCAACCCCAAGACGACCACGACTGCCACGCGGAAGAGCTCCGTCTCCGCCTCCGGCTGGCTCTCGTGGCCCAAGCTCTGCTGGCACAACGTGCTCTGCACCGTCTTCACCTGCCTCATCGCGGGCGCGAGCGGCGGCGCCTTCGCCTATTCCTCGCGCGGCTCTGACGGGCTCCTCTCTTCGATCGTTGTGCCCGACGCGACGGCCCTCCCGACCGCTCCTGTGAAGGCCAGACTAGGGCTGCAGGGCTGCAAGCTCGTGAGGCAGACGAGCAAGGCGCAGTGTGAGCACGGGCGAAGCTTTGGGTGTGACCATGCGCGCGGAAGCATGTGGGTTGCAAACTGCAGAGGCGTGTTTCGTTGTGCAGGGCACAGGGTGCGCTGCGGACATCCGCCTGGTCTCCCAGCGTACAACTGCTCCTGCGCCCCACCAGACCACCCGTTGACTCAATACCTGGCAACGCAGTGGGTATTTCATTCAATGCCAGCCAGCGCATTAACGCAGCTGGTCGACTTTGTGAGCGTGCTCGCGGGGTTCCAGGCTTGCCCAAGCCTCGAAGCGACGCGCTCGCTCAGGACCGCGCTGGCGGACGGGTTCACTGCGGAGGAGGCCATGTTGTGGCGCAACCCACACAAAGGTCTGTGGCGCTCGGTACAGGTCAATGCTCCGTGCATCGAGACGGCGGGGTGGTGGGTGAGCAGTCCGAGCGCCAGCTGGTTCGCGCACCCCATGTGGGCCCACTGTTGCAACAAGGACCCGAGCACATCGCGGTGTCCGAGCGCGTTGATTGAGGCACCGACGGCCTGCAACAGACGCAAAGCTCTACTGGGAAGATGCGAGTCAGATGCAACGCTCCTGTGCGATTCGTATCTCCCCGTGGCAGCGGCGGGTAGGCTCGTTTACTCGTTTGGCATCGCTAACCAGTGGACTTTTGAAGACTGGGCCGCATCGAGGGGCTTCGAGGTGCACGCCTTCGACCCGACGACCCGGACGCGGGCTGCTCACGAGGCGCATAAGACCAAGAATGTGCACTTCCACTTCATGGGGCTGGGCGCGCTCCGCGGAAAAGCGGGCTCCCTTGTAACGGCAGGCTATGGAGCGCTCGGTGGTGAGGTGCTGCCATTCGACGCAATTCGCGAGAGGCTCGGTCACACCACGCGGCTCATCCAGCTTCTCAAGATCGACTGCGAAGGATGCGAATGGGAGGCGTTCGTCGACGCCGCAACTCGCATGCCCTCAGTACTTGAAAAGGTCTGCACCATAATCCTGGAGATACACGTGTCGCGAACGCTGCAGATGAACACCACGGCTGACCTGAGGCGCATGGCGGCCTTTTGGGATCTCTACGTCGTCAAGATGGGCTTCCGCTTCTGGTACCTGCACGCCAATCCAGGCGCAGCGTGGGACCGCACTGTCCATCCGATTCTCGCCCAGCTTGGTCTAGACCCGAGTATCTGCTGCTACGTGATCGGTCTGCATCGCGAGACGGCTGAGTGTGCCGCGCAGGAAGCCGTCATTCCCAGCGCTCCTGCGGAATTTAACGGAACAGCGAGCCAAGGCAGCAGCGCTGAGAGGATGCACGCCGAGCGCGGGCGGGGTGTTTTTGTGATCTTGGCGCAGAACGGTAACCACTCTTCATACGGTCGTGACTCGGTGGCGCTCCTGAGGCGGACATTGCGCTACTTTTACCATTACTACAACAAGCGAGAGCGGGACGACGTGCGCATTTGTCACTCGGGCGACTTCGATGCCCAGACACAAGAGGCCGTTGCCGCGGGCCGGAGAGAAATCCGCTTCCTGCACCTCAAGGGCGACAACTGGAAGGTCTACCCGGAGTGGTTGGCCCTGTCGAACCGCTCCGCTTGGAGATCGACAGAGTCGGATGGATACCGAATGATGATCCGGTGGTACGCCGTGCGGATCTGGCCGACGCTTCACGATATGGGGTACAAGTGGGTGTGCCGGCTCGACGACGACTCGCTCCTGCTGAGTGAGATCCCTTTCAACCTCTTCTCCTTCATGCGCTCGCGCGGCTTCGACTACGCGTACCGAAATGTGGCCATGGAGCGCGGCGGCTGGGACGGCAACGGAAATTATGGCGACAAGTGGTGGGAATGGGTCAATCTGTACGTGAGCAAAATGAAGCTGCAGCCAAAGTGGCTCTTCGAGGCGAACGCATGCCGCGAACGCAGCTTCTTGCACGAGAACTGCGGCAAGGATTTCTTCGGTTTCTATAACAACTTCTTTGTGGCCAACATCGAGCGCTTCCTGGAGCCAGATATACAGAACTTGCTCCACGAACTCGATGAGTCAGGCCTTATGTTCATGAGTCGGTGGAATGACCTGATTATCCAGTCCCTGGCGGTACAGCTGTTCGTGCCCAAGAGCCGCGTGCACCGCTTCACCAGCTTTGGGTACGCCCACAACTCTGGACACGCCGACACGCTGCGCTACGGCATCGTGCAGCTTGCAGCGGGCCTGCCCAACCCAGAGCGCGCGATGGAGAAGGTCCTTGCTTCGGTGCTGCATTGGCCGGTTTGGCTTCAAAACAATTCGCGCTTTGTGGATGGCATGTACACGCTGAGCCGGCCAGCCTCAAGCCTCTTCTGACGATGTGCAAAGCCAAACGGATCTCATGAGTCATCCGAGCTCCGTTTTTGAGCATTCTCGTTTTCTTATCGGGGGGGGGGGGGGGGGGCGGGTTTTTGGGGTGGGGTGGGAATTTCCGGGGGGGGAATGGGTGGCCCCCCAAATGGGAAGGGGGTGACTCCCCCTGGGGGGGGGGCGACCGCTTTTGAGGAAACCCTCCCCCCCCCCTCCCCTGTCCGGGGAATCGTGTCGGGCCACCCCCTTTTTTTGGAAAATTTTTATTTTTTGAGCTAAACCTCCTTGTTAATTTAGGAACAAGGGAAGGCCCCCCCAACTTGACGCCAAAACCAAAATTGTAGGAACCGGACCGGATCCCGAACCCGCCACCGCACTTGGGGACCTTGGGGGGCGGTTTTTAACCTCACATCCAGGGCCGAGGAGCTGAGAAGCGCACCCAGCGGGCCGGATGATCGGTGTCGGGTTGCGGGCAAGAGAGCCCTAGCCCCGGGGGTGCGCGTTCGCAGGGAAAGGGCCTTAAAGTAAACACGGGTCCCCGAGTTTTTGGAGCACTTGGAGTGCAGTCAGCAGCCTCACATCCAGGGCCGGGGAGCTGAGAAGCGCACCCCGCTGCACCGTTTATTTTCCCGAATACACAACAAACGAATATGTCGACTCGCAGGTCGCGCCGGCCGTCGCCCGAGGCGGCAGCCGGCGCGGCTCGTCGAGAGGCCGCCTCCGCGAAGCGACGCTGCGAGGCGCTCGAAGCCAGCCTAGCTTCAAAGCAAAAGGCGCTTGCACGTGCAAAGGCTGCCGCAGTTGCCGCCGCCGCCGCCGCCGCCTCAACCACCGCCGCCGCTGCTGCATCTCCGCCGCCGCCGCCGCCGCCGCCGCCGCCGCCACCACCACCACCGCCACGAGCTCCACCGCCGCCGCCGCTGCCGCCGCCGACGGCCTCGCATGGCTACGACATATGCGACCGTCAGAACCAGCGGTGCCAGGTAGAGGCGCGCGCTCGCCTCGAAGCCGCCGCCGCGTCGGTCCTCCGGCACTCGGCGGCAGAGGCGGCGGCGCGGGCGCGCTTCGAGACGGCAGCTGCGGCTGCAGCGGCGGGCGGTGCAGCGCTCGAGGCGGGCGCGGCACGCCGCTCTCCGCGGGGGAGCAGCCGGCGGCGCGCCGACGACACCGTCTTTGCCTCGGCCTCCGCCTCCTTCGCCCCGTGCGGGGCTTCGGGAATGCGCATCCCCGACCCGGCCCCGGACCTCCATCCCTTCGAGGCGGCGCGGCAGGACCTTGCCCCCTCGGCCGCCGCCTGCGCCGCGTGGGTGGCGGAGGCGCGGCGCGGCCGCATCGAGGCGGAGGCGGAGCGGCAGGAGGCGGAGGCGGCGGCGGCGGCGGCGAGGCTGGAGGCGGCCGAGGGGAGGCGGCGGGCGGAGGCGGCGGCCGAGGCGGTGGCGGAGGCGGCGGAGCAGGTGGCGGAGGCGCGTGCGGCGGCGGCAGAGGCGACGGCGAGGGCGGACGCCGCCGAGTCGCGCAGAGACGAGGGGTGTGAACGGCGTCTCTTCACACCCACTGCTGTGAACAGGCGGACGCCGCCGAGTCGCGCTCGCTTCGTGCCGAGGCGGCGCTGCAGTCCCTGGCGCTGCAGCCGGCCGCGCCGCAGTCGACCGCGCCGGAGCGTTCGGGCGGCGGCTCTCTCCTGCCCGCCGCGCTCGAGCGACGCGATGGGCCGGCCGACACTGGCGGGGGCGGGAGCGAGGGAGGCGGCGGCGGCGGCGGCGGCGGTGAGTCTGGAGCCCCCGGAGCGGGCCCCGGCGGCGCGGCGGCGGCAGCCTGCGGCGCAGTCGACGAGGCGGCGCTGCTCCGGCGGGCGGGCGCGGCGGAGGAGGCGGCAGAGGAGGCGTCGGCCGCCGCCGCCGCGGCTTCCGCGGAGGCGCGTTTGCCTCGCGCCGCTTGCCGGCGGCCCTTCCCGCCCTGCCCCGCATCCCCGCCCCTCCCGCCCTGCTCCCGCATCCCCGCCCTTCCCGCCCTGCTCCCGCATCCCCGCCCTTCCCACCCTGCTCCCGCCCTGCAGGTGCTCGCGCTGCGGAGGAGGCTCGAGGCGGCCAGCCTCGAGGCGGTGGAGGAAGCAGCACGCGCCGACCGAGCGACCGAGGCGCCTCATATCTCCCCATATCTCCCCATATCTCCCCATGTCTCCCGCCTAGCGCCGACCGAGCGACCGAGGCGCCTCTCGCCGGCTGCTGTCGCTCGTGGGCCGTGGGCCTCAGAAGCGAGCTCTTGCTTTAACTGCTAGGCGCTTGCTAACGCTAACCCTAACCCTAACCCTAACCCTAACCCTAACCCTAACCCTAACCCTAACCCTAACCCTAACCCTAACCCTAACCCTAACCCTAACCCTAACCCTAACCCTAACCCTAACCCTAACCCTAACCCTAACCCTAACCCTAAGCCTAACCCTAGGTCATCAGAAGCGAGCTCTCGCTGACACGTTTAGGCGCTTCGCCGGCTGCTCGCCACGGCGGGCTTGGCCGGCCGGTGGGGCGGGGAGGCGGGGGCGGGAGGCGGCGCGGAGCAGGACGGTCGCGGGCCCGCGTGGGTAGATGCCGCCGAGGCGGCCCTCCAGTGCTGGGCGGAGGGCGGGCGGGAGGCGGCGGCGGCGGCGGCCGGGTCGGGCCCTGCAGAAGGGGCGGCGGCAAAGCTTCCTCGCGCACCGGAGGAGGCGCCGCGCGCGGCGGAGGCGGCGGAGGCGCGGCTCCCAGCGCGAGGGACAGCCGGCACGCGCGAGGAGGCGGCAGCCCGGCGCGAGCTCGAGCGTCGCCGCGGTGCGGGCATCCGCCGCACTCCGCCCCTTCCCTTCCGACGTAGCACCCCTGCATCGCCAGGCGCGAACCGCGACGCCGTCGAGCGGCGCGCAGCCACGGAAGCCGACCCGTCCGGCGGCGGGAGGCGCCGAGGAGCAGCCATGGCGGCGGACCATAACGATAGAGTCATGCGCGCAGTCAGCGCGTATGCTGTGCGGAGCCACCTGGCGCTGCCGACCGCCCCTGCGGCGGCGCTCTGCCGGAGATGAGATTCGATTGTAAAAAGTAACAAGTGGTTCGGCGCGGCGCGCGTCTCAGACTCACACTCTCACCTCGCATGGGCCCGTGGATCGGTGCTGCCGCCGCCCCCGGCCGAAAGCATCTGCTCGAGGTCCGACCCGGGCGGCGGTGTCGGCAACTTCTCCTTGCTCGCCGCTTCCCTGAGTGCCTCAGCCTGCTGCTTTGTAACCTCGACGAACCGGCCGTCCCGGCTTCGCGCGGGCGCGCTGTCCGTCGAGATAGCAGCGACTGCGGCCGGCGAGCTGCTGTCAATTTGTGCAGCGAGTGCCGGAGGATGGAATGTCGAGGCGGCGACGCAGAGGGCACACACGACGCCTCGACCGACGAGCATCCGAGAGGCGAGCGACGAGAAGAGCTCTAGCGCGAGCGTCGGCTGGGAGGCGAAAAGATTCCCGCTCTCGCGCACGACTGAACCCTCCCATACGTGTTTGTGCCTCCTCCTTTGCTGTCCCATCTCCTCATCTCTTTCCCGCCTGGGCGGGGCAGCGGGCGGGCGCGCGGTGCGGTGCGGCGTGTGCGTGTGTGCGACTGCGACAGGGGACCGCTCGAAAGGGACCATTGGGCTTGTATTATTAACAACGAAGGCGCTCTCACCCATATATGTACACGCGAAAAAGAATTTTGTGCACCGCAAAACACAATTTTCCGCCCCTACTTGTTCATCATTCACCACTATTGAGTATCGTCCGCATGATGCGCTGCCTCGGTTGGCGAGGTGACCTCGGGCTACTACTTCGTCAGCGACGCCCTCCGCTCGCCGATGACGGTGACGCGGTCAGTGCGACCCGGGCACGCCGGAGTACGGCGGCGAGGAGAACCCGGACGCCGCCACGTACAACAGGTAGGCGGGGGTGGGTAGGCAGGTTCCCCACACACAATGAGTGGTGGGTGGGGCTGGGTGGAGGGGGGGGGGGGGGCAACCACCTCGCCGGACACGGGCAGGACCGCCCCACGCCACGTACGACAGGTGACGGGCACTCACTCCAGAGCACTCCAGCCAGTCGCCCGCGGGGCTCGCTCCGCCGCTGCGCGGGGACTGGGCCTGAGCGTGAACGGGAGCCCCACCTCAAATTTTCTCTTCTCCCCACACCCCCGTTGAACCTGCGGGTGCTTTTTGGGCCTTGGCCAACTCCACAAGACCAAGTGCTCCAACAAGTTAACGTACGACACTGCTCGGCGACTGCCGGCACACTGTGAGACCATGGGTGTGAGGTAAAACCACGCTACCAGCGCTTGGTCACATCGGCCCTGACGCCTGAGGTCAGATCCATCTACTCTGTTGATGACAAGACTTGTCTACCGGCTGGAGCCGAGCAGGAGGGCCCGGCGCACAACCCCTTGTTCACAACTCACCCTCCACACCCCGTACCCGGGTACGAGAAGGCGGGGCCGTATTTTTCTCTCTTTCACGTTCAGCCCTTAAAATAAAAAGGAGCCTGCTTGACGCATCTCTCTCTCTCTCTCTCTCTCTCTCTCTCTCTCTCTCTCTCTCTCTCTCTCCCCCCCCCCCCCCCCTCTCTGAGCCGGCCCGTCCTCGTCCTCGCGCCATCACGCCATCCCCATGACGAGACCAATGCCCTGCAGCAAGTCCACCGCGCGTCGCTGCGTGGCCCCGTCGCCCGCTGCGAGCTCCCGCAGCCGCGGTCGGATCGCGTCGAAATGGTCGTAGCACTCGTGGCACCGGCGCGCGCGCGCCTCGCCGCTCAGATCAACGCCGACGCCGCCAGTCGCCGCCGACCTTGCCGCGGCCACCACCGACCCAAAGCTTGAGAGGACCAGCGAGAGCGCGTCGAGCGACGCCTCGGCGTGCCTACGTGTTGCGGGAGTGCGTCAGCAGGGGGGGCCGGCGCCGGGGTGGCGCGCGCGCGAGAGGCGCGTCACTCTTCGTGGGAGGAGGCGAGGGAGCGTCTAGGAGGTGTCTAGGAGGCGTCTAGGAGGCGTCTAGGAGGTGTCTAGGAGGTGTCTAGAAGGTGTCTAGGAAGTGTCTAGGAGGTGTCCAGGAAGTGTCTAGGGAAGCGTCACTCTTCGTGGGAGGAGGCGAGGGAGTGTCTAGGAGGTGTCTAGGAGGTGTCTAGGGAGGCGTCTAGGAGGTGTCTAGGAGGTGTCTAGAAGGTGTCTAGGAAGTGTCTAGGAGGTGTCCAGGAAGTGTCTAGGAAGCGTCACTCTTCGTGGGAGGAGGCGAGGAGCTGAGTGAGCGTGGGCAGCAGCAGCAGCGCCCCCTCCAGGTCTAGCGGGACGCGGCGCAACGTGCCCGTGCGCAACACGTCCACCGTGACGGACGCATCCCCCAGCCGCGCGAGGTGCTGCAGCATCGCCTGGCGGCAAGGGCCGCAGGAAGGGTCAGAGAAGGAGCCCAATCCCCCCCCCCCCCCGCCCAACCGAGGAGGCTGCAGCGTCGCCTTGAAGTCGCCCGCCGCGTGGTAGCAGCCGAGAGCCCTCAGCGCCGTCAGCCGCGCCGAGAGGCAAGAGACCTGCAGCGGCGACGGGGCGAGCAGCGCCGACAGCAGCGCCTCCTCGTCTCGGGGCACAGGGCCGCCCCCTGCCCGCGGCAGGAATGCGGACGGGTCGAGCCCGCGCGCCTCGGACGGGTCGAGCCCGCGCGCCTCCTCGAGCCCGCGCGCCTCCTCGAGCCCGCGCGCCTCGCCGACCCGCGCCCCGCCGCAGCCGCCCGCCGCCCCGCCCTCGCCACAGCCAGCCGCCGCGGGCGCGGGCGCCGGTGCGGCCGACGCCGCCTTGCGCGCGCGCGTCGCGGGGTATCGCGGCGGAGGGAGCTGCGCATTCCCCAGGAGGTTCTCGCTCGACGCGGCAGTCGCCTGTTCACAGCAGTACGTGTGGAGAGACGCTGCTCACACCACAGGAGCTTCCCGCTCGACGCGGCAGCGGAAGCGGGAGTGCGTCAGTAGGGGGGCCGGCGCCGGGGTGGCGCGCGCGCGAGAGGCGCGTCACTCTTCGTGGGAGGAGGCGAGGGAGTGTCTAGGAGGTGTCTAGGAGGTGTCTAGGAGGCGTCTAGGAAGTGTCTAGGAAGCCGCCGGCGCGAGGCCGCCGCAGAGAGAGTCTCCCATCGACGTGCCGACCGACTTGTGCCGTCCTCCGGCGGTGGCGAGCGGCTCCGACTGCTCCGCGCACGCGGCCCTGCAGCCGCCTCCCCCGCGGCCAGCCTCGCGAGCGCCGCCCCCCTCCGCCAGAGAGGCGGCGGGGACGTCGGCGGCGGCGAAGTCCGCCGGCCTCAAGCAAGCCGCTGTGGCGGCGGCGGCGGCGCCAGAGACAGCTGCAGCGCCGTGGCAGGCGGACCTTCCGCGCCGGACGGCGGCGATCTGGGCGCGGCAGCCGGCGATCTGCATACGCGCGCAGGCGGACACCGACAGCTCGTCGCCCTCGTCAAGGCCAGCAGTGTCGGGGCCGGCAGGGGCGGATGCGGCAGGGGCGGATGCGGCAGGGGCGGGAGCGGCGGCGGGAGGGGCGGCGGGAGCGGGGGCCGCCTTGCGAGCGGCGGGGACAGGGCGGGAGGAGGCGGAGGCGGGGCGGGAGGAGGCGGAGGCGGGGCGGGAGGAGGCGGAGGCGAGGTGGTTGGCTCCGCCCTCGTGCCTCGCGCCCTCGCGCCTCGTCCCGCCCTCGAGTCGAGCCGCGCCGGCGGGCGGAGGGTGGCCGAGCCCGCGCAGCTCGTCGAGGCGGACTCCCCACACGGTGACCACGCACTCGTGGAGGGCCGCAGCCAGCACCTCCCCCTCTCCTCCCTCCCGCTCCCCTCCTCCGCCCCCGCCGCCCCCGACGATGCAAAAGTCGGACAGCCGCGACCAGCGTGTCTCGGAGTGGAGATGGCAGCGGGCGGGCTCCCACCCCCACCCGCGCAGCGACTCCTCGCCCGCCGAGAGCAGCGCGCTCCCGTCTGGCGTGAAGGCGACCCGCCGCGACCCTCCGCCGGGCTCGGGCAGCGCCGCCCCGACCGGCGAAAACGTCTCCAGGTCCCAGAGGCGGACGGTGCGGTCGGCGGCGGCGGTCGCCATAAGGAACTCGGTCGGGTGGATCGCGAGAGCGGACACGGCGCCCGCGTGCGTGCAGAGCTCCGTCAGCAGCTTGCCCGCGGTCAGGTCCCACAGCCTGACCTCGCCTCCGTCGCAGCCAGAGACCACCCACCGGCCGTCGGGAGAGAAGAGGAGGTTGCGCACGGCGCCGGCGTGGCCCCGGTACGTCTGGATGCACGCGCGCTGGCGCATGTCCCACACCTTGAGGTACGTGTCTGCCGAGCCCGACGCGAAGAACTCTCCGTACGGATGCCACTCGACCGTGATGGCGCTCGAGCGGTGGCCGGTGAGCGTGCGCGCCACGCGGCCGTGCTCGAGGTCCCACATCTTCAGAGTGCCGCCGGCCGAGCCGGCGACGACGGTCCGCTCCGAACAGTCGAAGGAGACCGACTCGACGCTGCTGGTGTGGCCCGCGAGGGACAGGATCGCGTTGGGGCGGCCGACCGACCAGAGGTTCACCTTCTTGTCGTCGCCACCCGTCACCATCACGCCGCCGGACTTGCGGCCGATGTGCACGCACCGAACGGGGCCGCCATGCGCCACCTGCTCCTGCAGCTTGCGCGGCTGCCCGCTCGCTGCCATGGGCGGCAACTGGAGACTGGCGAGACGTTACAAAAAGAAATTTCCGCAAGAATACATATAACCGGGCAGCTTTTGAATTATTTCTCAAGGTGGGGATTCTTACCCTTTGTTGAAAATAAAATGAACTCGGGGGCACGGGACGCGGCACAAACGGGGCACAAACGCCAGGCTACAAAGACGGGGAGGCACGTAGTGACGCAGGGGAGTCTAGAGAGAGAGAGAGAGAGAGAGAGAGAGAGAGAGAGAGAGAGAGAGAGAGAGGCGATTGAGAGATGAGTGAGTGAGTCAAGAATTTAGACAAAAGAACTCTCTCTGTCACAGCAGACAGGCTCGACACAGGTGCGGACTGTAGAACGTCGGGAGAATAGAGGAAAAGCCATAATGACCAGAACGGCGCCGAGAGCACGGAGCGGGCAAAATCATTCCTCGCGTGGTGCGCGTCCCCGACCGCTCTTTTGAAGCAGAAACGACAGTTATGGACTGCAGTCCAGGATCTGACGAGCAAAATCGTCGGCTTACTGACCGGCTAATCTCCGAACGTGTGTCACGTGCGCGCGCAGGGTCATCAGTGTCAGTATCGTCAGAGCTTTTGAGTCAGGAACCGGAACAGCGTGCACCTACTAGTGAACCAGCTATTACACCCCTTGTGGTTGCTGCCTCCTCGATCACACACGGCCCTACACACATGGGCGTGCAAAGCGATTTGGATGTGACTGTGGAGCCAGACACAATTCCAGAGCGATTGCTGTTGGGCATGTCGTTGCGCGGGCTCCTCCGCTTGTGCGAATTAGTTGACTTCAAGCAGTACGTGAAGGTTGGCGTAGCGCCATGCGACCAACCGAGGATATGGCCGATCCTAAAGGACATGACTTATCAGCGAAACGTGTGCCCCAATGCTCCAGACAGGGCGTTTTGGGCTGACACAGTACCCGTCAGCTGCGGGTACGACCTGATTGCTGCCATAAAGGTATGGCAGGCAAAGATCGGCAGACACTGCCAGAAGAAGTCAGTATGCGATTTTCTCTACCACCTCGATCCAGAATCAGAGGAGGGAAAGCAGCTTGATGCAGCGTTTTGGCATCACGAAATTGGACCCGCTGATATTTTCTACTCGCATGCTCAAATGCTTCCGCTAGACGTGACACTCGGCACCATGGACCCTTCCGCGCCTGAGGCTGCCTACCGCTGGGACTCTATCTTCAATAAGAGTCAAGAACAGCATTACGTTCATGGGCCTTGCCACCCGAAGCGAGGCACCAAATATCCTGGTTACAGGTACTGGGTGGATTACGTTTGCCTTCGCCAGTGCGGCCCTCCCATTTGTGAGAGCGACTGGCATCTCCCAATGATCCGCGCAATAATCAAGAAGATTGGCCACACCATCGCTGAATTTGACGCGCTTGGAGAATATCTGAAGCGCACGAATTGCATCTTCGAGCTGTCCCAATCTGTCGCCCAGGGTAGCAAACTGCGTGGGCACATGTCAGGCGTCTATCACAAAAACCCGCTGATGAACCTCCTTCCTCATCAGATTCAGGACAGGTGCATGTCAGAGAACTTGATAAGAAGCGCAAATGCCGAGGATGCTACGCCTTCAGGCTTGCCAGAACGTGAATGGAGCGCAGAACAAAGACGCATGCAAAATCAAATCATGTCCTTCATTGCGACTCAAGGCGGCTTTGAGCTGGTGAACCAAGAACTCAACCTTCAGCTCTCAAAGGCTATTCGAGTACGTCAACGCTATCAGTTGTGCTTTGGTTGGGCCATCCTTTTGGCGATCTGCAGCTGGGCGTGGGCGCTTCGAGACATTACACGCCCCCTGTGGGACTCGGGAGCTAGACGTGCCATGTTTGGTCCGAAATGGGATACCATTGGCACAATACTATCCTATTTTGTCGTCAACTATTTCAAGCCGAGGCCTTCTTTCTACGAGCCTTTCTGGACACCGTTGAGTAGCATCTGGCTGTTGACTTATGCGGTGTGGCTCTTTCTCGCCTTGGCTTACGATCCGTGTGGTTTTTCTCGCTGCCTGTAGTACCCTCAAAAGTCGCGGTTGAGCTATTACCACTGCCCCCCTTTAATGCTAAAACAATCTCCATTGCAAGGCGTGCGATACACCAATCCACACACACAAAAGTGAGGCGGAGTAACAAGGGAGTGTGCAACCCGCTCGCACTCGACGATCCACACACCCGGACATGGCAGGGGAGCAGGATGCGGGGCGAGTGGAGCTCGCGTCGGGAGGGAGGGGCAGGTGGCTCACACTCATGTGCACTGGGCCTTGCACTTCGAATGCCGTGGGGCACACACGATCGAGAGAGACTCCCCACTCCCGCCTCTCGTTTGCGTCACACGTCACCACGCGGAACGCATCTCCATCGCCGGTGAAGGGGGTGAACCGCGCCACCCTCGATCGCCCGTGCAAAGCTCACTTCAGAGCTCTCTCACACACCGCCCTTTAGGGGCCAAGAGAACACACACACCCTCCCTCTCTCCTTTCTCCCATTAAGTATGCTAAAAGTACACATCCGACTGCGCTGAGTCGGAGGTAGGGTCCCCAAGGGCTCGAAAGCGCGCCTCCCTCTCTCGCTTTTCTCCCAGACTTTAGAATTTCACAACAAAAGGCGGACGCACGATTTCACACACACTACCCCGCCTGGGGGTGCCCAAGACGCGCACGATTCACAGATAGGTTGATAAGAAACAGGAGATGCTCACATCGCAGACAGTGAGGGTGTGAGAGGCGGACCTAAGGAAGGTCCTCTACATCTCTTTACCACCCCTGGCCGAGCTCCCGCTCGACTTCACAGATAGGTTGATAAGAAACAAGAAGCTCACATCGCACAGACAGTGAGGGTGTGAGAGGCGGACCTAAGGAAGGTTCTACATCTCTTTACGACCCCTGACCGAGCTCCCGCTCGACAGAGTTTGGTACGATTTCTAGCAATGCTCTCCGTCCTCGACATTTGATGCCTGCCTTCACAGGAGTTGTCGGCACGTCGGCGGCGGCGGCGGCTGATGCTTGGCGAGCACGGCTGGGAACGGTGTACGATTCAGGACCCCTCAGAACGGGGTCTGTTTTGATAGTTCACACGAACAAGCGCAGACCTAAGAATGGGACGGCATGACGCCTTTCGTTCGTATGAAGGCCCCGGCGCACGCTCGTCTTCGGATTTTGTTGCTACATCACACCAACGCATTAACCATCGTGGCCTTGGGCTTCTTCTCGTTCTGGTACGTTCGGTTGCGCAGAGGCATACAGGATACACCATGCAACGCGTTGCTCGCACAAAAGATCCTCCGCACAGCGCCGCGAGAGATCTCCGATGGAAGGATAACAAAACTGAACTTGATGCGCAACGCTATTGACGATGCTCTGCTGCTCGAGCTAGTAGCTGAGATGCCGAGCTCTCTTCTCGCTGGTCTGCAGGTCCTCGAGCTGAGCCACAACCGCATTGGAGACACAGGCCTTGCCGCGCTGCTTCATGAGCTCACAAGCACAAAAGCGCCATTGCTCCAGAAATTATGGCTCGACAGCAACGTGATTACACACGACGGCGCGGAACACATTCGGTCCTGGCTTGCATCAAATTTCAATATCGCCACGCTTGGACTGAGTGACAACCACTTGTGCGACGCTGGGGCAGTTGCTATCTGTGCGGCGCTCCAGAGCAACAGCTCCCTTACGGAGCTTCGGCTGAAGGGCAATAGCATTAGTGATGCGGCAGCCGATGGACTTATGTCGGTGCTGCGCAACTCACAGAATACCTCGCTCCGCCGGTTATTCCTCGAACGCAACGCGTTTAGCGAGGTCGTTCAGGCGCAGCTTCGCGATGCTGTCCCAGTGCAATTGAGACTCGATATGCAGCAGCAATTCCCCATTGGCCCGGCTTTGTTAATATACGTTTGCAGCCCGGAGACGAACAAGTTGCCGCAAGCGCAGAATGAGGTGGCCCAGCTCATGAAGCTAGTGCGCAACACGCACAGCTCCCTAGCAGGCACCGCGAGAACGTTGCAGTTGCAGCTCAACAACACGCCGCCGCGTTGGTTCCTTTTCTGTGGCCACGCGGACGAAGACTGGGAGGGTCAATTCACCCTAGGTTTTACCACGTCAGAGGGTCGTGTCTCCAGAGTTCCGCCGAGGGAGATCGTGACTATCCTCTCAAGCTGCCAGCGTCTGGAGTTGGTCTTCATCAATGGTTGTTCATCGCACGGGCTTGGCTTGGAGCTTCGGAAGGCAGGCGTGCCCGTGGTCGTTTGCTGGCAAACAGCGGTACTGGATCTAGCGGCGAGGGTCTTTTGCGTGAGCTTCTTCCAAAACCTTACCCAAAGCTCGACATCATCGGCCTTTGAAGCGCGCTGCCGTTGCGCGTTTCAGCATGCCAGGGTGGCCGTAGAGGAAGCGCTGGATCGACGTCTTGTTCTTCGTGACCCCGCCAGTGATAGTGAGGCTCCCGAAAAGCGAACACCACCTTATGCAGCGGGGATTCCAGTGCTGCTTGTCTAGCTAGGGGAGAAAAAGCGGAGATCCTAGCTCGCTGGGAGACGTGCGCAACCTAAAGTTGGGAATAGGGGAGAAGTGTCAGTGTGAGGGGAGGGCGTACGCCGGCGTTTTTGCCTTTGAAAACTGAACAGTTTTTTTGAGGAGTACGACGAAGGCGACGACGCTTTCGACGCGCTCTTCGACGGGGGCTCGGGGTACGGGTGGGATTCCTCTTCGGGGGGCGGCGCCTTCTTCTAGGCGCCCTTGACCCAACATAGAGGGCCAATATATAAATAAATTTCTTTATTTATTCCAACATAGATTGCCAGCTTTTGTTTGGGTTAGTTATTTCTTTTCCTCTTTCCTCGCGATGTCCACCCCACAACGCCGCTCCACCCGCCTCGCCGCCGCCTCCGCCGCCGCCGCACGCTGCCCCCTCACCGACCTGCCCCTTGAGCTTCTCGCGCGCGTCATCTCTCGCTGCGACCCCGCCGACATCGCTCGCGTCGCGGCCGTCTCGCTGCTCTTCCACGCCTCGCTGGCGCTGGAGGGGATCCGCTTGTGGGCGCAAGAGCGCGGCCTCGAGCTGCCGGCGCAGCCAGAGGACGAGTGCGTCGTGCGGTGGCTGTGCTTTATGGCGTTGCTGTGCGAGGCCAACCCGCCGGCGAGGGTGGCGGCAGGCTATCGGAGCAGCCTCTTCATCGACGGCGAGGGGCGGCTCTCGTCGTGCGGCTCGGCGCCGTTTTACGCTCCAGAGCTACTCGGGCACGGCGAGGGCGTGATGCGGCTCAACACGCCGACACGCCTCCCTTCCCCGCTGGGCGGCGAGCGCGCCGTGAGCGTGGCGGCTGGACACGCGTGGAGTCTCGCCCTTGCCGCCGACGGAGCTGTCTGGAGCTGGGGCTGGGGAGGCTCTGGCCAGCTGGGCCACGGCGACGATCAGGCCCAGTGGCAGCCGAAGAAGATCGAAGCCTTGACGGGCCAGCGCGTCATCGCCGTGTCGGCTGGGTCCCTCCATAGCCTCGCCCTCGCCGCCGACGGCGCCGTCTGGAGCTGGGGAGCTGGTCTCTGCGGCAAGCTTGGCCACGGCGACGGGCAGAACCAGCTGCTGCCCAAGACGATCGAGGTGTTGGCGGGGCAGCGCGTCGTCGCTGTGTCGGTTGGTTACCAGCACAGCCTCGCCATCACCGCCGACGGAGCCGTCTGGAGCTGGGGCGATGGAGGCCGTGGCAAGCTGGGCCACGGCGACGGGCAGACCGAGCTGCTGCCCAAGAGAATCGTGGCGTTGGTAGGGCGGCGCGTCGTCGCTGTGTCGGCTGGAGGCAGCCACTGCATCGCCATCACCGCCGATGGCGCCGTCTGGAGCTGGGGCGTTGGAGGCTTTGGCGAGCTGGGCCACGGAGACCTGCAGGACCAGCTCCTGCCGAAGAAGATCGAGGCCTTCGCCGGGCGGCGCGTCGTCGCTGTGTCGGCTGGAGGCGCGCACAGCTTCGCCCTCACCACTGACGGGGCCCTCTGGAGCTGGGGCCATGGATACCGAGGCCAGCTGGGCCACGGCGACGAGCAGACCCAGCTGCTGCCGAAGAAGGTCGAGGCCTTTGCTGACCAGCGCGTCGTCGCCGTGTCGGCTGGACGCGAGCACAGCCTCGCCATCACCGCCGACGGCGCCGTCTTTACCTGGGGCAAGGGCGAAAGCGGCTGCCTAGGCCACGGAGAGGACCTGTCGAACCAGCTGCTGCCCAAGAAGATCAATTGATCTGGAACTGGATTGATGAGATGGGTGGGTCGCGCAGTGCCCGTTGGCGGGGCAAGCGGCGAGGGCGGAGGGGGTCGCCGGGGGGTTGGGATGGATGGGGATGGTCTTTTCGGCGAGCACTACGGTGCTCGCGGATTCGACTGTCCCCCCGATCGTGCCCACCCTAGTGCCCACCTTTATGAGGACGACGGCGCCTTCTAAAGGTCCGTCGCCGGCTGTGCTCTTCAGGGTAGGCTCCCTCCGGTGAGGCCGATTTTCTTAAACGGTCTTAAAAGAGGGACCCCCCGTGCCTGCAATCTCTTAAATGGCAATTTGAGCCCCCAAACCTCCTCATTTCTTAAAAGGTCTTAGGGTACCTCCCCCCGTGTTTGTTTGGGTTCTTTAGACTTTACTGAGTTGGTTGGTGAGAAGAATTTTACTACCTGCGTTCTCACAGACCACAGATAGCCCCCCCCCAAGCCCCCCACCCCCGCCTCTCTGGCTCTGTCTCACCACGCCACCCCTCACACACCTCTATCTACCATGACACGCCTCTCTGCGACACCCCTCTCTGCGGATTGCGCGCCTGCATTTGTCGGGCAGGAGCGGTGCGGAGAACCCGAGCCGAGAACCGAGAACCCTTTTCCGGCGTCCTCCTCAGCTCCACCTCTCCTCACCGTGAGAGCGCGACGTGCTGCACCGCCGCCTCCGCCGCGGGCCTGCCCACCGAGTCGGTCTCTCCGCCAGGCCCGTGAAAGGCGCAGATCGGCTGCTGCTGCTGCGAGTCAAACGGCCAAAACGTGAACCACTGCGCGCCCTCGCCGTCGGCGGCCGCCCCGGCGCCGTACGCGCCCCCCGGGAACTGCTCGCTCATCGGCACGCCCTCCTCGACCGCGAGCGACATCCACACCTGCGGACGAGCAGAGAGGGGGGGGCGCGCACCACGTCTCGGAAGAGGGTGATGCGACAGGGTACAGGAAGGAGCCGTGGCAAACCGCAACGCACCGTCCCGTCGGCGTCACGGCGGTAGTGCACCCCGCCGCCGCCGCCCTCGCCGCCGCCCTCGCCGCCGCGGAGGAGCGCCGTCATCCTGCGGCGCGCGGCCGCCCACGAGGCGCTCGCCTCGCCGCCCGCACTCCGCCGCACCTCGGTGACCAGCCTGCAGCCGCCGTCCGCCGCGTCGCCGCGCCCACAGACAAGGGCGAGTCGCGCGCGGCCGCCGGCCCCGTGGATGAGCGACGCGAGCACCTGCCGCGAGGGGGA